TCTTCAACTTCAAAGTAATCAACATATTAGTTTCAAACCATTAAAATTGAAACTTAACACTTTGAATGCCACGCTAATTTTACATGGCTAGCTCGTCAGGTCACGCGGTAAATAATTGCAAAATAAATTTGCAAATATAGACAGATTTTGCTAGTTTATAAAAGGTTTAGCATGACTTATCTGAAAAAAGTGGTGAATTATATATGCCTGCGAATTTTTTAAAAATAGTGGTTTTTGAATAAATTTTCTGCAATTTCATAAAAGAGTGTACATTTTATAGTTCTATATCATGTTATACGCTGTTAGCCAGCTGTTTTTCGCGGCCTATGTGAAAGGTCAGTGTCAGCAAGCGGTGGCAGACGCAGCTTAAATGTAATTTCAGTGTCAGCCACCGGTGGTTGTTGCGGCCTAAATGGAAAGTTCAGTGCCAGCCACCGATGACTGACACGGCGCTCAACGTGTTAATGAAATTCCAATTACTAAAATCAAAATTGTGTAGGGAGATTCGCTTTGCTTTCATTTTACAAACATAAAAACTATATGAAGTGTATAATATAATTTAGGTTTAGAGTTTTAATTCACAGGAAGTAATGCCTATAAAATTGTTTATTATGGATATGTTATAAATTAAAAACTTAAGTTAGTTAATTCTCTAGTGTTTATTTAATAATTTTAAGTGAATGAGCAGCAAGGAATGTTTTTGCTTGGACTCGGAAATTAGCTCATATAAACCTTAAACGATTTTTTTCCACTTCAAATAATAGTTTCATAGTTTGAAAAATGACAAATTTTGGATTCTCCTAAGATTATTTGTGCACTTTATTAGTTTTTAAGTACAACTCTGCAACTACTTGTGCACTCTCAATTATTATAAACTTGTTTACGAGAAAATTGATGTTACGCACATAAAAAATTTATAAACGTGAATTATTTCTCAAATTTAAAAGGGAAAACTATAAGACAGATATATTTAAAAATAACATTATTATAATACAACTAATTTTACGATATTAAACGGGCAATCGAGACTTTGCATTGGCTCCTCGCCCCCCCCCCCNCCCCCCCCCCCCCAGTAAAAAAAAAATTGGCACGCAACTGCTTGAAATAGTTAAACCCCGTAACCATAGTAACCCCCACTACTTCAGACGATTGGCTAGGGTAGTTCTTTACATGGATAAAGTATAGAAAGCAGTTACTAAACGAATAAAAAAAGGAAACAAATTATTAAACAATTAAACAAGTTAAAAAAAAAGTTTTTGAAAAAGGAAAAGCGTTATTAACTTCTCCTCATTTTGGTCGATCGTAATTTCTAATAGTTAAAAATAACACCATTTCTAAAAGCTTTAAACCTGATCTAACAAATTGAAACTACACTTTTGGCCTTTTTAACTGTCCAAAATATTTGCAGTTAAAAGAAAGATACATTATATAGAATTAGTACAGAAATGGTTCAACATTTTGTCCCGTATCCGTATATGATATCTTCAATTAAACTTTTGATTTTAAAAAAATATTTTGTTTTTATTTTTTATTAATATACTTGAAGAAATTCTTATATATTTTGTTTCTTCCAAGAATTTAACATATTTCTGAGTAAGAATTCTTTTTATTTGAACAATTTGAGTTGATATTGTTTAAAAAGCAAAACCCAATTAATGTGAAAATTGTTTACATTTTCAATATTTTTTGATCAGGTAATGAAGTAATTAGGAAATATTTTAAAAACGTGGCTTTAAATTTTATCGATTTCGGTAAGTATTATTTGTTTTCTTATAAATATGACATGCAATAACGTGCTGCTGACAAGCGAAAAATTCAAATCATTATTAAATAATGCATTCACATATATTAATTATACTATATTTTGAGTTAACAATTTTTTTAATTTCTTATTTTTATAGTGACAAATATGCTGCGTTTGCAAGACTAGACATTTATGCAAAATTCTAGACAGTAATTATAACTAATAGAAGCATAATGACTTCGAGTTGACAGGTTTCATATATAAATTCACATTTTTCTGCAATGAATTAATAGTTTTTCCTACTAGCACGAAAGTAGTAAAAACATTTTGCGAGTATTGGAAAGTATTTTTTATCGAAGAATTGTTTATAAACTCACCGTAAGTAATTTTTTCCTAAACTTTTAATTGCCATGTTTAATGTTTAAGACAGTGCTTCAACATTTCAGCTTTCACCAAAATTTTTGTTTTCCAGATTTGATGCACTTAAGTAAAAAAGAAATTGAGTTCTATTGTTTCGAATGACACTTGAATAAGTCAAACTCGCCAGTCAGTGGCCTTTTCGTGAATTAATTCAGGAAGCGTTAAGTAAGCGAATTAAGTATAAAAATAAAGAATACTTTTAGCACAGAAACCCACCGAGAGATGGCAGCACCACTCATCCGTGAGGCCATTTACTCTATTCAGACCATGAAACGTATAAAATACTTAAGTTCACGGCTAAAGAATTACGTGATTTTTAATATATCTTTTAATTTTGTTCTATCTAAGTTGTGTGGTTGGCGAAATTTCTTTTATTCTTATTTAAACAGCTGTAAACTTTTTATGCTTTTGGAAAAATTTCTTTCAGTGCAAGATAAGTTTTTGATTTAATGTATGATTTTTATGAAATTTTTCTAAAAAATATTTTCCACACCACTGCATGAAAGTCACTTAAAAAATAATATGAAACACCTCTTTTTTCCATCTGTTCCGTAGAGAAGCTATTGAAATGTAGGCAAAATTATCAAAAATTCTAAAAGATTTAGTTTTTAAATGTTAAATTCAATTGTACAGTTTTAATCTAGAAAAATAAGTTCAATTTTAATAAAATAAAATAAAATTAATAAAATAAATTAATAAAATTAAAATAATTTAATAAAATTAAAGTAAATGATTAAAGCTAAATTAAAATTAAATTAATTAAGTTAAATTTCGATTGTAAAATTGCTTGCAAGGAAAATTATTTTTTAAATGTACAAAAACTCTGTAGTTTTTAGAGGCTTGTGCAGTTATTTGCTAGTTGATGTTTAATATATTGGTTTAAATTATGTATCTGTAGTTAGTGGTTGTTATATTTTTTAATTCTAACTTATTTAAACATTAACAAATTATCTTTGCTAACACTAGAAATGATATTTTCTAAAAGTAAGCAGATTCTGTTGCATTTGAAGAGAATGATTTTAACAGGGATGCCACTGCTGTACATAATTGTTACCATTGTTTCTAAGATTCTTAAATCTATAAGCAGGCATACCAACTGCTCCGCTTTCTGCAAAAGTTATAAATTGGTAGCGAATTAAATAGTAAAACTTGTAGATTAACGATAATTGCGCATATTCTTTAAAAGATACTTTGAATGTTTGATATGCAGTGGTGGAAGAATGACTTAAAATGAAACAAATTACTTAAATTTCGTTACAATTAGAAAATATTTTTTTGCGAAACGGCGTAAGTTGGCTTTTCTGTGTAAGTTGAAGGTTCAAATAATAGAGTTTGGGGATAGAAGAAAAGCCTAATAAATGGCATTTAAAGCTTTTAAATTTTTTTCAAACATTAAAATTTGATATTTTTACAATTAAAATCGTTGACAAAATGTTTAATTCATGGTTGACTTACTTAACCACATAACTGTCTCATTTTCCTGTCATATTGTGACAAAAAGTAATCCAAGTTTTAAATTTTTTTTTTATTCAATTCGATCATATGAAAGTAAATCAGTCATCAAAACTGTTTTAAGCTTTTCATTTATTAATTTTATATACCTTTTATTTGTAGGCATTTTCACTTAAAGTTGGCTTTTTTTCTAAAGATGGCATGGAGCTAAAAAAACAACCTTGTAGGGGTAAACTAGAAAAAAAATGTTTTTTTCAATACTAACATACTATTTTATACTATTTTAAAATATTGATACATCAGAATTGCATTCTAGCATGAACGACTTATTGTCCCCGATCAATCTTCTTAATTTATTTTTTTTTTCTCTCATGACAAAATTACGAAAAAATATTATTCGCAATGGACAAATTCGTAATTCAATGAACATGTGAAAACAAAGTTTCTCAAATTCCGAAATTCCCCGCCTAAAGGAAAAGCGGTAAAACTTATCATTGAAGTAGTTTTCACTAGAGTGCCTAGAGTAAAAGAGTGTGGACAAGGGAGAAACGATTCCTGATTGGTGGAAAGAAAAACTTTACAGCCGGAGGCGAGAGTGGAAAATTCGCCATTGGAATTACACGGAGTGAAAATTATCTGACTCAAGAAATTTATGCCCTGCATTAATAAAGGCATGTAATAAGTTCATTACTTACATTTTTTCAATAAGAAACTTCACGGTTACAGTAAATGTAAAAATTATGGCTGAAAATTTGAATATTTGAATTTATCCTTATTATTACTTACATGCGTGCATACAAAGTTTTGTTTATCTCATTATAAAGAGAACAAGGTGATGAAATAACTAACGGTTACATAAGAATAAATGTATTTACTTTAAATAAACATAATTTCTGTCTAAATTACTTATAAATTTTAAGATTTGAGCATCTTTTTTATCAAAACTTCAGAAGTGCAGAGTTTGGCGATATTACTTTGAAATGTTGGTGCGTTACAATGTTCGCCAAGTAGCATTTGCTTACTTTTCGTTACCAACTTGATTAAATACTAGTTTGTTTTAAATTTCAACTAATTATCGAAATTTTTGTTTACAATTTGTTGAAATAAGCAATACCTTTTTAGGAGAATATGCGATAATTTTTTCCTGAAAAAGTAATAAATAATAATAAATTATGTTATTTATTTTATTGATTATTACTTCTGAAATGAATAACATAATCGTTATTAATTTTTATATTTTATTTAAGGTATTTATTTAGAGCTGAAGTCTTTTTCATAAGTCCTTTTTTTTTCATTGACGTTAATTTTTAACAATGTGAGATGCTAATTTTTCTTTCAATGTTTCTTAAAAAATCTGATATCATGTGTTTTCCAATCTTAAAGCTTATATTATTGATATTTTAGTATATACTCTTAGAATAACAGAACCTTCAGAATAACACCAAATGAGCGAGTGGCGCCAATTTCGGTGTATCANATGAACATATGAAAACAAAGTTTCTCAAATTCCAAAATTCCCCGTCTAAAGGAAAAGCGGTAAAACTTATCATTGAAGTAGTTTTCACCACTCTACTTTAGTATATACTCTTTGAATAACAGAACCTTCAGAATAACACCAAATGAGCGAGTGGCGCCAATTTCGGTGTATCATCTGGCAACCCCCTTGGACAAAAATATGACGGCAGCGCATGCTCTCTTGAATATTGTCATTACTCTTTTTAATACAGGCACTCTAGTTTTCACAATTGAATCCCATTTGGGTAACTAAGAAGCCTCTTTTGCCAGGCAAAATCACCAGCCGAATTCTGTTCGAAACGAGATAGCGGGTTCGAATCCAGTTGTTGCCCAGTATATATTTTGGTGCTGTATTTCTCTGTCTCTGTGCTATCTGGCCTTCTACTTGACAAAGGTTTATTCGTCCTAATTGAGCACACAAGTCTGTAAATAAATGTTGTCTCAATAAACAATAATGGATTACTAAAGACGTCCATTAGAAACTCTGTCAAGTAAGAAATGTGATGAAGTCTGGCAAAATAGTGTTTTGGTGTAAGAAAAAGCTTTATTGGCGTATGAACAAATCAAAAAGCCCCCTTTCGCAGCACCAGAACTGTGTTTGAGCAACGCCTCCAACACTATGAATATTAAGAGCCATTTAATACACAATCTAGTAAAAATAAGAAAGTGGTAGCAATTATATCTTAAATTTTTTTTAAAAATTTATTAATATGATAGGTTTGTCTTATTCACTTGTCAACTACTACAGATTCAATTCTCAAATATATATGATAAATCTTTTTCAAGTACTTTTAAAATAGAAAATGGATTCATGAACACAATTAGTCCACTTTTCAATGAGTATGAGCAGACTGCTTATAAAATACCGTGTGGAGGCTTTCTGATGTAGGAGCTGATTGTTCGGGCACGGCAATAAATTGGTTAACTGACATTTTTTTTAAAGAAATTTAAAGGCTTCAAATTTCCCTTCATCTAAGAATGAACGATGCTGAAGAATTAAAATGTTAATTTTAAACATTGAAATGATATTTTTTAAAATTATTTGAACTTGCTTAGTAACTTCTGTTTATCTTTTTCAGCCAATCAAAAATGAAGGTTTTCTACGTTTTACTTGTTCTCAGCTTGATTGCAGTTACTTTCGCTGCAGTAGATTGTAGAAAGGCTAGAGAGGGGGCCGAAAAACTTAGTAAGGACTTTTTTTCATCTTAAAACATACTTAAGCAACAATAGAAATGGCAAATAAAACATACAATAGAAATGGCGTTTTTTTTTAAAGAAAGTATATTTCTATTAACAATATATCGAGCATATCCTGGAAAGAAAAAGAAATTATAAAATATTGCATTAGTACTTAGTATCGCGCTTTCCAAATTTTCAAATCAAAATAAAGTAATGAAGTCCTTCAATGAAGAAAATTTCCGTAATAACTATTTTCATCGTTTATTACAGCAGTTTTCATCTCGAAGTAAGCAATGATTAGATTTAATTTGTTCTGAGTATCTGGACCAGTGGTTCCCGAACTTTTTGTCTCGTAGACCCCTCGCCATGTTTTTCGGTTTTAGGTCGACCCCCTGCTTACCTGATATTACATTTTTGTAAATTCATCAATTTCAAATGTATTTTTAACAGCTGGTATAGTGTTACTCACTGTGAAAGATTTTAATTTCTAACTGTAGTGGGAAAAACTTAAGAAGAAAACAGATGTTAATTTTAGACATCTGTAATTAAATTCATGATAAAACAAACCAAATTAAAATTTAGTACCTGTCATAGTAACTAAATTTAGTAACTAAGCAATAAATAAATGTTTTTAGTGACAGTATAAAAGGCAATTGTTTGTCCGACAATAATGGAATGAAGCCAAGTTTCAAATAATCAGCACTGTGCAGTCTACATTTCTTTTTAGATTCGGACATGGCATTAGTTAACTGTAGATAAAATTAATCTATTTAAATAAGACATTTAGTCCAGTGTGTAATTTTGCATGATTTGAATGTTAAACTACTAATATCTCAAATCATTATCGTCTTAATTTATCTATCTTTCCTAACCACGAGTACGAACCTAAAATTTTATAAAAAATAATGTAAATACTTTTTCCGAGCAATCTCAAACAAAATGACACTGATTCACTGTAACTTCAAGGATGCCAACTGCTCCGCTCTCTGGAAAAGTTTCAATAAAATGGTTGCGAATTAAATAGTATAACTTGTAAAATAAGCATAGTTACTCATACTTTAAGAAGCAGTAACCAAATAATTCATGCTTTTAAGTTGAATGTAATATGATTCTTATAATTTTCGATAGTCAGTGGCGGAAAAATTAATTTAAATTAAAAATAATAAACTAAAAATAACTTAAACTTCGTTACCGCCAGAAAATGCTAATCTGTAAAGCGGAGCAATTTGGTATCTCTGTAACTTGTATGTGACTAAATATCAGTTCATATTTTTAAAAATATTTTGTTAACACTTTCCATTTCAAGACTCGGGATACAAATAAGCGTATTTGTCTCTCACATTCATATTTATAGACTGGCGAATTGAGCAAGTCAGTGAAAGTTCACGAATCTTTGAGACAAGAATTTTTACTGCGCGCATACATGTAACATGATGATACTGGTGTATCATTATGCGCAAGTTCTTACAAGTTCAAATTGTATTGCGACCACAAAGCGAATGCCTACCATTTACACAATTTTCTGAACCATACGATTTAATTTCATTAATATGTAAATGGAATAAAATAGTGCACTATAAAACCCCTACTCCGCTACTAATATTATAATAGCGAAAATAAGTTTATATATAAAACCATAGTGTATTGTCGGTCTGTTTATGTCGTTTTCACGTAAAAACTAAGCAACATATCTTCGTGATTTTGTGTGCTGATAAAGTTGGAGGTTTAGCTAGCTAAGAAATTGACACAAACCAGGCTAAAATTTACCGCTGAAAAACAATTTTTGTTACAAAATAAAACCTTACATACAGAGAAAATGAAAACGTACGCGGGTTGAGTTGCAAGCCACTGCTACTTTATAATAATTCTTCATATATCAAAAAATATTCCTAATAACTTAAATTTTAATAAATTTTTTACAGCTACTTTTATAAATTATGTAGAATATATATAGATATATGTTTTTATATTATAAGGTAAGTATAATGTAAGTAAATAGGTACTATCAGTGTATGTTGATTATTCCATTCAGGAAATGCCAAAATTAAAGTTACGACCTGCTTATATGAGATCCGCCCTGCTTATAATCCATTTAATAAGTCATTATTGCAGAAAAACTGCCGTAAAAATACAATTCCTTAATTCCATCTTTATGTCTACGTTTAAAAAAAAAATCTATTATTATCTGAATACAGCCATTACATTCAGATTCATTCTTTCAGAACTAAGTTCGACTTATTTTATGGCAAATCTCCATTACAATGGATGCATTTATTCTTTCTTATATGTCGTGTACTCATAAAATTTTGGTATCATAGATAGGAATTAATGCCGAAACCCGACTTGATTGGTTAAAAGCTTTTTGATCTTTGCATTTGTTTCTGATCACATTAGAAATGTCTGCTTTGAGGGAGAAAATTGGTAACTAAAACGAAGAGATTACACGAAATAAATAAATTTGCGAAATAGATTTATTACGCTTATTATGCTTGCATAAGATTATTTGTGAAATTATATTGTTTGCTTGATACGTGACCTTAAAAATATAAATAAATACAGAAAGATTTAAATATTAAAAATTAAATTTTATATGTTTCTGGAAGGCTCTGTCATACAATTCAGAGATGAGTCAGTGCTATTTTTTTATATCAGTTACAAACTGATAATGATACAACGAAGTCTCATTTATAAAAAACTGATAATTTAAGTATCAAATGCATGTTGATTTTAATCAACGATCTTCAATAAAAGTGGGGGAAAAATATTATTAAGTAAAATTTAATTTACTTCTATTCGAGCTAAAAGCCTATATCGGATTTATAAGCTTATTTTTAATTACAATTCATTCAAATTGCTGACTTAAAATATTTCAAGTTGTAAAATAAATGTTGATTTAAATTGAATGCAAATTTGCAATTATTTTGTTAAAAATTCATTATCAGTACTTTTAATGAAGTTTTTAAAGTATACTAAATTTACGGAAATAACAGTCACAAGTTCAGAACTAGTAAGAACTGAAAAATGAACTAAATGTATTACTTAAGACATTTTAAGTTTATTTATTTATTGATAGTTTAATAAGCTGGCAAATAATTGAAATTATTTCAGCTTTTAAGCACGAGAAAGTAGTGGGTGCCCTGATACAGGACCCATTTTTAAATTCGCGATCGTAACACTCGAGTACGCCGTCTAGCGGGAGCCTGTAAATATCAGACATTAATTTATCACGTTTTCATTTAGTTCCATCAAAGTCATTGACAGAATCAGACGCCATTTTTAGCAGCAAATAAGAAACAAAATTTCCCTAAGGAAAAGGCCGAAGAACTTGAAAAAAATCTCCAGAATATTAGTAAATCTTTCAGGAACAGAACACGCCAAACATTTGAAGAAAAATTCCTCAATAATTTTTAATTTCTATTATCAACAAACTTGCAACTGATGACTTCCGATTTCGGATACTGT